ATACATGAGATCGTATTATACATGAGATCGTATTATACACGAGGTCGTATTATACACGAATAAATACAGTAATTCAGTTTGTTTTATGACTGATGCCTCGCGCTGCAGGGGAACCAGACACACAGTTAAAATAAAGCATTCGCTGAAGAGGGGTTTTCATATTATAAAATCCGGACTCCTCTGCTGCCGGGGGGAGATGACGCTTCTGTCCGGGGTGGAGTAGTGTGTAATCGGCTGCAGGGTCCGGAATGATCCGGGGGACAGAACACTTGTCAGGCCCAGACTGAGCTGTCGTTTAACTCATAACTATGAAGTATGACAAGAAGTTGGACTCTAACCGGACCTCTCTTCATTTGAAGGATCCTAAACGAGGCGTACGTGCCACATGGTCTGAAGGTGGTCCAGGCCCACGCCAAGCAGGGCCTGCAGGGCCTGATGGACCTGGAGCGGTGCTGGAGGCAGCACTTCCTCAGCACCATGCGGCCTCGCCACCTGCCCCCTTTCTGGTCCGTGGACCACAATCACAGCAAGTTTCTACGCAAATACGGAGCGGAGCTGCCAATCAAACTCAACTGAGTTTATGGACCCAGAAAGGACTCCAYGCTGCAACAGGAACAGGATGATTTTTTTACCTTTTCCCCCTCATCCAGTAGTCGGATTAGAACCATCAACCCAACAGTTTGTCACCTACATAGCTATATATAGCTACATATAGCTGTATGTATGTTTTAGTGAGGCTGGGCTGAATACAGAGGCAGCAGGGATGGACAGGTTCCCACCGTGTGGACACTGTCTCTGGACAGAGGACGTTTAGTTCTATTAATTAAACTAAACGATTTCTATCTAGGAGAGAAAAAAAAAACAATTATCTGGTGGATGTTGTGAAAATGTGAATTTTTTATTGTTGTTAAAATCTAATTATGTATAATGACACAGTTTAGGTTGATAGATGTTTTAAGAAAAAGCTGCAGCCTGCTCTTATTTTCTAACACTGCAGCTCATTGTCTCCATCGATTTGAACGACGAGTTTTGTTGTTTTGACTCTGAAAACAGAAGCTGAGCAGCAAATGATTGACATCTTTGTCTGTTTTTAGGTCAAAAGATGAATTGTTAAAGGTGTTTTGGTTGTTTCCCTCAGCTGGGACAGAGTTGGCATGTGATCATTTTAACTTCRGACGTGTCTGTCTCCAGAAGGTCGGGGCATCTTCATGGCTCATGTTTTAATGTGCCTCTTCCTCCCCTCCTGACGGAGACGACTCCTCGCATCAGTTTCAGCATGACGTCATTCCACTAATTCAACTCTTCAGACAATAATGAGTGTCAACTACAGCTGGAAGGGAAACAAAAAAGCTAAATCTTTATGAAATTTATTTAAAAAAGAAATAATTTAAGTGAATAAATCAGCTGCTTTGAGCAAAAGGTTTTCCTAAAACTGAATAAAAACTGTTTGTATGAATCTTCTGTGACTTGTTTATGAACAGAAAGAAAACACAACAACAGCTTATTTCTTACAAAATCACAATTTTAATAAATAGTCTGTAAAAATGTGTACGAAAGTGGTTTTAACATTTCATATATGAATCACTCGTGACTCGTTTCAGGACAGGTTATTTTCTTTTTGCCATTAATGACATTTTTTACAATCTAGTTTTTCTGAATTAAGGCCTCTTGATTTTGGCATTTGAACAATCTGACAGTCGAATGGTTTGTATCTAAAGTTCATCAGGTGGAAAAGTTACAAGCTCCCCTGGTTTCACAGTTCAGTCAGCAACAATAAAACATTTACAGATAAATAAAATGACGGTTTGACACTGCAACAATAAAAATGGCACAGCAGGCAGCTTCACACTAAAGGAAACTGATCGGTGAATTTTGTTTAATAAAACAAACAAAATACTAAATACCTGAATCTCTTGGACCAGTTCTAAACCGTATCTCTCCTTTTAAAGGATCTGAAATAAAAATAAATTCTGTACAAAACGTGAATTTAGGAGGAATACTTCTTACAGAAGTTKGACTCAGAATCTGACATCTTTACTGCATCGGGTGAAAACACAAGATCCAATCTTTTCATAAGAACTCCCAATGAGACCAGTTCTGCCCAAGAAACTGAAGCAACAGCRTGAACTCAGGCTAAGTTAGCTGGAGCTCACAGCTGTCCAAAGGCAGATTATTGATGTGTACAGCAGCACACATTCATCAGGTTTACTGCATATTCAAGTCATTTTACAACAAAAGACAATTCATTCATAAAAATTATTGTTCATCATTCCCCACATTCTGGATTTTATTTTAAATACCAAGTTAAAGTAAATCCAGAACATAATTAGATTTGAGGTTTGTTTTCCTCAAGAACTGACAATAAGGCATTTAATAAATCTGTCCAATTTTCAAGCTTTAACTATGGTCTGCTGTTTGTAAAGTTACAGTCAAAAAATTACCACCAATATTTTTGTTTTATTTAGACTTTTATAAGAAAAAAAGAACAGATTTATTT